TTCAAAGAAAATTGAAATTCTTAAAAATCAACATTGATTCAATCAGCAGCAGAAAAAAAATTACTGTAACTTTTAATTTAACACAATAAATTATCAAACTCAAAAGTTTTCAGCAAATGAAAGAAAAAAAAATATTCGCGTTTTTAGCAAAATAAAAGATTTCAAATTAATTACAACAGATTTTATTTTAAATCTTTCAAAATTTTTTATTGCTTGTTGCTAATCATAATTATTGGTGTTATTAATAAGTAAAACATGAAATTGCACAAATACCTAATTTTTTGGGGGGGTCTGGAATTTTGTGTAATCCAATTTTTCAATAAGGAAATCGATCAATTTTATATCAAGAAAACTTTATTGAACGTCACAAGGGGGGTGGGAGGGAAGGGGGGTTACTGGCATCTGTGACAGTTTTATGACAGAGGGGGAGGGAGGTCTAAAAATCTTGTTTTTTATGGCCGTCATAAGTGAATGACACCTTTTCAGAATACGCAAAAATGATCAATTTTTTCATTCAAGCTCGAAAAAAAAGTCTTTATGCTCAATTTTAAAAAGTTCGGAATTTAAAGAGTCTAATAAAATAATATTAAGGAGGAGCATAATCCAAATGGAGGGCAGGCATTTATTCTTCTATCCTTTTAGGCGTCTATATTTTAGAAATTCTATAAATAGTTTTATTAAGAGCGTTAGTAACAATCAAATAAACCATTTTTTATGCGTGACTAACATTGTGATCGTTGGATACTTCTAAAATTTCTCAATTAAGCTATTCATTTAATACAAAAGAGAGCATGACTAAATAAATAAAAGCATTGCTAATAAACATCTTATTTGTTTTATTTATGTACGTTTATCGCTATTCAGTTTCTTTCCTAAGCATTAATCTCAATCAATGCTATCATTCATAGCCAAAAGGTTTATTTATTCTTTTGTGCTTTAATTTTTGTTGTGGATAAGTAGATTTTATCATTATTTTTGTTAAATCGTATTTAAGCTCATCTGTGTCTGCATTAATTTGATGTGTAAATGCTTTGATATTCGCAAGATTATTACTTTGTGTACGCATGTCACTGATAATTAAATTAATATATTTTCATCATAATTTACAGTTTCTGATTTATTAACATGATTCATAGTTTTAAGCTATTGCTAATTATTGATTTACTGTCTGGATTTCTTTACACTTTTTTAAATTAAGAAACTTTAAAAAATTAAAAACATTTTTTTTCTCTTTAAATTTTAAAAGTCAACATTATAAATTATTTTTAAAAACTAGCATCCTTTTTATTATTTATTAGCAGCTTTAAGATAGCTTCTTGAAATATTAAATAAAAAATTACAATGAGATTGAAAAAAAAGTGGAAATAAATCTAATTATGAGTTATGCTGTGGTTGCTTGTATACATAAACACAGCTGTTTTCTTTTGCATTTTCTTCGCCTTGATTCCATTTTTTCTTATCAGGATTGAATTCTCGCAACTCCTTGTTTCACAGCAATATTTCTTCCAAGTTTTAATTATCAAATTAACTTTTTCTTTTCCGTTATGAACAAGTTCCACTTAAAGTTACGCATTGCAGAAATCTTGGCAATGCCTCACTCGTTTTTAAGAAATAAAGATATAAACTACATTCATACTAACATCGGTTGATAAAGTTCGTAATTTATAACTGAATCTTAAATTCAACATCTTTATATTCGCACAAAAAATCATAAATCCATTAATCTTTAAGTTTTACATTTCTTGAAACTGAAAGCTGGCTAAAAGCAAATTACTCCAATTTCTGCCTTAATGTTTCATCTACACCTGTATCTTTCATCCCAATTAAGGTTTTCAATCAAAAACTTTCGCTTTTATAATTATTTTCACTCAATTTTAGAACACGAACAACAATTTCATGAATAATAAAACACATTTATGATATTTTTATTGAAGTTTATGAATTTTTTATTGTAACAGTACCTCCTTGCTAAATATACTTACTGACTTCAAAAATAATTATTGCTAATTGCTGTTTAGAGCGGTATTTAAATTATTTGTCTTTGTCAGTCATGTTTCCACTTTGTATTTCTAATTCTTTACTTCACACACAAAAATACATACATTAAAAATTTATTTGATTATTTGTCAGTCTCAATCATTCACAAATTGGATTATTTTACTCAATAATAATAAATGATAAAAATATTGATTCGTCATAGCATATTAGTAAAATTATCAATTGCTTGGCAAAAAGTTTTTTATTTAAGAGCTCGAAGTCAACTCGAGATTTTCATTGATTTTGTATGGCGAAGTCGACTTCGAGTTGACTTGACTCCAAACAAAATTTCATCTACTTCGAGCTCTGGTTATTAGTTTCACCAATATTGAGTTTCACGAAAAACACACTTTGTTTTATTACGTTATTAAGAACTAAGTTTCAAAACCTCAAAAAAACGTCTTTTCCGATATCCCTGACATGACAATGCTTGTAAAAATTTAAGCTTAGGTTCCCATCAAAAGTGTACTTTCAGACACATTGAAAGCATCTGTCAACATGTTTATGAAGATAATTAAATTTATATAAGAACTGTTTTTTATGTTAATTAGTCAAGATTCGACAACTGCTGTGCCCTTTTTTACTGTAATCATTAGCCAAATGTGGAAGTTTGTGGCTTTCTACGTAACTCGTGTGTTTAGAAGTCTTTTCCATATCAACAAAATATTTGCTAAAGTTAAAATCTTTTAATTTAATCTTAATCCTGATTGAGGAAGATTTTTAAATGAGAAAAAAGAATTTCAAACCAGAATTTTGGACACAATTTTCACATTATGGACAGTTTACATTTGAGCATTAGACCCAAAAACTAGTCTTTTTCATTTCCCTTATTTGCTATAAAAAAATATGTAAAAGTTGTCCTCATACTTTATGAACACTATGCATATTGACATCGACATTTACATATTCTTATGGTAAAGCATGTGGGTATCCTTAAATAAAATTTGAAGGAAAATATGTAGAATGATGGAGGTAGTTCATCTTTTGTCAAAATGTATTACTGTTTTAAAAAAAAATGTTTATGTAATTTTAAGTTTAATTCGTGACTTTGAAAAATGATAATTCAAGCTGGATAAAACTTGTAATTTACTTTTTAAGTTTAAGTTTAAAGTCATTATATATTCGTGTTCACAACCAATTTTTCATCCGCAACTTATGGCCTGCTGTAAATGAAGAATATTTTTCGACATCCATTATGATTTAATTGCATCTCCTGCTGTTTATTAGTCATGCTAGACGTGACGTGTTGCTCAACTGCTGATTCATGCCCAGAAAGTAAATGAATAATGAGTTTTTCATTATTATAGCATAAAAAAATATGGATATATTAAATGAAAATGTCAAGGTGCCATATAATTTATGTACATGCGGTGCTAAATTAATAACAAAAAATTGCATATTAATCCTTTGAGGACATTTCGACATAATTTTTCATCATTCAGCTCGTCTATCGCATGCAGGGTTTTAATTACTCACCTGGTGCATGGTTCTTTAGTTTATATATTTGGCATCAGTTTGAAGGAAGATCTTATCTTAACTAATAATATGAATTGATCAATTTTTCTAATTTTGAAAAAAAAAAACTTTTACCAAAACTCGCACATCTACTTAACAAGGGACATAGTGGATTCACCCTTGGCTTTTAAATAATATTCCCCCTATGTTCATATTTGTAAAATAACAGCATGATAGAGAAGAGGCACTGCTGTGTTTTACAATATTAATTGGAAGCAGCAGTCAAAGCGAGAAAAGCATTACTAAAAGGAAGATTTTTTTCACTCCAAAATTTTCGTCGCTCTTGAATTCACTTTGATGTCTCGACGAAAAAAAAAATGTTTGTGGAAATGAAAGCTTAAAGAATTGATAGGTTAACAAGAACATTCTACCTTTTGAGCTGTCATATCCTTGTGTTTTACAACTCAACAACAAAACAGCTTTAAAAATATTTATTCAATGTAGCTTCTATTCATCAACTCAAGTTTAATTTTGGAGCACAAAACGCCATTATTCTTATCGTCATTATGTTGTTGGTGCCAAAACATTTTTCATTGCACACAAAAGCTGTAAGCTTTTTGTAAACATTTTCAATTTTATAATTTTATGCTCAATGAGTTCCTTAATTGTTCATTTAAAAAGTGTTGATGAGGAGAGGTTGAGGATTTAAACTAGGAAATTTAAAGTGTCAATGTTTCCAATAATTTTTTTGAAGTTGTCAGGTTGATAATTAGTAAAAAACACAAAAAATTAATTATTAAAAAGCGGCATCACGCAAAAATCATGAAAATCCTGTATGATAAATTGAATGTTACATATTTTATATCGCAAAGGATAAACATGAAAATCATTAAAACCATTGACGGGATACAGATATTGTTTAATATCCAGAAATATTTAATGATGAAGCCTTTAGGCATTTAAAGTGAATCATGAATACATGGATATCAAACAATCTATATCTAGATATCTAATTTCAAAAAAACAGGTTGAATTCTTAAATTATTTTAGCACATTAAGTTTCATTGTTTAAAAAACTATAAAAAATTCTAAAAATATTAAAAGCTTGTTACTGCTCTGATAAAGAAGGTACGCCAATTTTTACTAAATTAATAATTTAGTATTCATTAGCAATATCAGATATTTTTCCAAGAATCGTGTCTTTATTACATCTACAACATTAATTTAAGGCTGCAAAATACAATGTTCTGCTGAATAATTAATTTTCTTTTGATAGGGATCCCATATTAGAAATTGACACCGTTGCTAAGCAATCATAAAATCGTGCAGCATATATTAATTAATATTCTATTAATTAAATGCCAGTATCATTTAGATACAATGGATGAAGTATCATTTTCATTAGATTATGAAAGAAAACTGAGTTTGATGCTGAATTTTCTATAAAGTGAATCATTCGAGAATGTACAACTTTTACAATTAAAACTTTGGATCCTTTTTATTTGCAGACACCCTCGCAAAATTACGACGGACGGCATTTTCCCCATTTGGTGCGAATAATCAAGAGCCATTAATTGTAGTTGAAGAATCAGAACATGACGAGCGAGACGAAACGGAAGAAAGTCAAAAATCGTCATCACCACGCCAAAGTTTAGACATTGATTCACCCGTGAATCCTTATCTTTTGTCGCCATGGCGTGATCCACGCGAAACAAGAAAACATTCACTTCCCACACCACCATGTACAAGTGGCATTACCGCAAGCCAAGTAAGAAGATTATCTGAACGAGGTGGTGAGGGATCTGGGCCTTCACCAATGGAACAAGCATTTTTGGCAACTCTTTCACAAGCTCCAGCACCACAACCAGGAGGTAGACGACATTCAGTTGTCACAATTTCAAAAGTTCCATCAACATTATTTGGTAGATGCCGCAGAGAATCAATTGCTGCTGTACCAAATTTTCAGCGGTGAGTACAGTTATATTTAAACTGTGAGGTTATGTAAATGAGAAAATTTTCATTAATAATGTGTTTGTCTCTTCCATCTTCTACTCATTTTTTTTTTTTTAATTTATATTTAAAAACAAAAGATCCACGCCTGGAACATCACGTAGAGAGAGCTTTGCAGGTGGACCCCCATCAACAGATCTACGCGGTAGTATACATAATTTACAACTAGACATCATGGATGATATCGTACAAGCACGCAAGGCTCGTATGAAATTATGGAACACGAGCAATGAGAAAGTTTGCGAGGTACAAACAGTGGATGAAGCTGGAACATCATCCGCTCAACGTTACACAAATAGACGTTTTTCCGATTTTATTCAATCCACATTAGCACCCATACCACAACACCAACACCGTCGTGCGTCTGAGAATCCAAGCATGCTATCTCCCAGTGTGACTCGTGCTCCAAGTCCAAGTCCATCTAAAAAAGCTGGCATCATATGTACTAATACTGATTTAATCTCTTTACTTTCATCATTAGCCTCTTCCGCTACTGAAATAAATCGAATAAATGAAGTGCCAACACCAATTCTCACGCAGCCACCATCATCGAAAAACCAAACATCGTCAGCATCAAGTAACAATTTCTTGCGACCAGAACGTAAAAGTAGTCTTAAGAAATCGAATCGATCAAATAGCTTTGATGTGTCAATATTGAAAGGCGTTAAGCAACAGTTCACAGATGATTCAAAAACATCGTCCTCATCAAATGCGGCTGGTAGTGGTTGGTTTACCAAACGACACATGCCTGCTTCAAAACGGCAAAATACAGTTAAATCATCCGCACAAGCAACAGTATCATTTGCTCGTGAGACATTTGACAAGTTAACCGATAATTCATCAAATAATAACTCACCATCGTCACGTGATAAGACAGCAACTGCCGCCGCAGCAGCAGCAGCAAAGAAAAAGAAGGAACATAAATCACCACTTAATCGTTTGAAATGGGACGGAAGGAGTGCAATTGTTGATGCTCGTATTATTGGAAGTGCCATTGAAGGCTTTCTTCGTGGAGGAAGCTCATCATCATCAAATAGTAAAAATTCTAAAGATTCGTCACGGTTAAAAAAGGGCTCTACATCAACACCAACAAAAACTGGCTGGTTTAGTCGTACAACCGAAGATGAGGATTCAAGCGGTGACACTTGCGATACATCATCCCTTTGCGCTACATTGAAGGATTTATTTGTTAAATAAATCACTTAATTTTATTATTTTAAAGCACCGTCTCTACGGTGATGGCAAATATTCATACGACTGCTTTTATATTTTTTTAAGCCTTGTCAATTAACCAGAACCCTTTTTTTACTCACCATCACTGCTTCGTTTTAATTTCTACAATATTTTTGTACATTTTTTCATATGCATGTCTGTAGAAAAAATATATTTACCTGTCAAATGACTACAATGATGAAATCCCGAAGGATAAATACTTCTATCCTGCTATGTTAGATTCTCATCTGTTAGAAATATTAGAATTTTAACTATGTCCGGATTCAAAAACTTAAAGCTTCATTTTTGATATATCCAAATTAATTGAATACAAAATCCAATTTCTTTATTCAATTAATCCACCCACTCATTAAGTCATTGACCAGAAAATATTTTTCAATATCAACATGACAGAAAATCATTTTGAAGCATAAATAGAAGAGAATGAAAGAGGCGACATTTAATAACAAAACTTGAAGAAAAATCGAAAGAAGAAATATGAAAAATGCCTTTCACGGAAAAAGCAATAAAAAGTCATTAATCTCACTGTTACATCTCCCCGGTTCACTGATCCTTAAGAACTTGGGTATTTTATTCTTTCATTTGCGAATAACCAATTTATTTCCAAACGACCCCAAAGAAAATGTGTACATTGTGAGATAAAGGATTATTGTTTTCATAAATAAGTGGGAACGCTCGATGAATTTGATTATTATACGTCAACACAATATGATACAACTGTATAGAAAACTATTCGAAATAAAAATACATTATCAGGCTTAAATTTGATTGAAGATAATAGATTTTGTGGAGGTGTAAATAAATTATTTAGGTCTATTTATAGCTTAGTATCTTGATCTTTCTCAATTTATTTAAAATTGACATTCATTATAGAAAAGGCGTTTTTTGGAACAAATTATTAATATTTTTTTTTCCTGACCTGAAATATATCTTTAACAAGTAATTCAATATTGTTGTAACTGATATAAAAATTTATTGATTTTTAACAATTTCCCACAACTCCATATAGCATCCACCTCCACAAAATAATGCCTAAAAATAAATCATTGTATTATTTTGGATTCTGTTTGGATAATAAATTGTCAATAAATGAACTGATCCCAGTATTACATGCCAGATTAATTTAATTTAATTTTTTATCGATAAATAATTTCATGAAAAATTAATGACGATACATTAATTGAATTGATTAAATTAATTACAGTTTATATTTCCTATCAAAAATTAATTAACTCTTATTATCTATGCAAGTGTATCATGATGCTGTAACGAATGAGCATGAATCAATTGATAAATAAATAGGTGAAAATTATGGCGAAATTTCGATAAAATGATTTTCCTTGCCATAAAATTTAACATACATAATATATGGAAGTGTTGAAAAATGAAAATGATAACAATTTGTTATGAATATTTAAAAAAATATATCTCTTGTATGAACTTTAAAACAGAATGTTGCTGACTGATGATCGAGTTGAGAATGGTAATTTTAAATTATTAAAATATATTTATCTAGAACAAGTAAGAAACTATTGAAACACAAAAAAAAACATTAAAATTAACAGTTGATAATAATGTCTCATGTTACTTGAAAACTTATAAAAAATCAATTTAATCGTAAGAAATAAATATTATTAATTCATGGTTACTACTAGCTCAATATCGATTCTCAAAACATTTGGCTAGCATCATAAATGTTGAAAAATAAATTTATTTAACAAAATCGAACGAATATGATAAAGCAACTTACATTATAGCAACAGCTTAATAAAGCTTATTAATGACACATTCAATACTAAAGGGAATTTTGTCAGCTATAAAACTTCTGTTGAGGAGAGAACAAAAGAAGCATAGCAAAGAAAGCAACAAATAAAGCGTAAGTTAGAAAGAATGAATGAACATAAAAAGTTTTGGTCTCTAGAAGATATGATGATAGTAGCTAGAAGCTGTGAGTGATAATTGAAATTGATAATACCCGAAAATTAATACACTCCCAAATGAATATCCATTCATTCCCTTGAACAAATGAGAATAAATACTTTTTTGTTCTTATCCAAACATTTGTATTCATGACCCATGAGGAAACAGGGTTGATACATCATCAATATCTTCCTTCAATGTTTGTTCAAATCCGTATAGAGAATAGCAAAAACTTACTAAGCTTAGTGATGATCATCAGAATTTGTTCATATATGTCTCTTAAGCTGTAAAAAGTTACAACCCTGCAATAAAATAAAGAAAACATAAAGTAAATAAGAGAGTAGGAATAAAGATTAGCTTTTAATGAAAATAGCTCTAATGAATTTAGATAATTTTTTATCTTTATTTCGCAAAAGGGAAACAGATGGAAACAATTTAAAATCATTAAAAAAAATTCAGAATTTTCAATTTTGTTTAAAATGAAAAACTCATCGTGAAAAATATTAAAAAATTTGTACAAATTTTTTCAAATTAAAGCAAGAAAAGTAAGAAATTTTTTTGAATGAGAAAAACTAAGCATTTAAAATGGAAGCATATAAAATATAAGAAAAGTGAATATTAAATCTCATATTAAGCATGAATGGAACAAACTTTGGAAAGAGATAACAAAATTAAATGGGAATGAAAAAAAAATGAAGAAGATTTTAAGTGATTTTTCCAGACACATGTACAGAATATAGGCATATATTTGGAGGTAAGAAATTTTTGTCTCAATAAGGAAGATGCATGACGTAATAAAGTTTTAAAGCTTGGATCTCAAATGAGAGGGGATGAGATCCTGAATGAGTGAATCTCTCTATAAAGATTCGAAACAACACCTACCTACATCTTTTTTGTTGACACAAAAATAAAGTCATGCATAATAATTGCTAAGGAAAGAAACAAAAAGATGTATAAAAAAAATCCGAAAAATAATTTTTGATACAAATATTTGTGTATGCGACTTCTTGTTCCCCATAATGAAAATGATACAATTTTTTTTTTGTCTTCGTTTATTGTCTAAATCTTGGATAAGCATTACAGTAAACAATCATCTACAAACCAAACAAAAAAAAAGAAAGAAAAATCAAGGAGAGTTAGACTTACAAAAAATAATAAAGTAATAGTTCGTATGTTCATAAAAATAATGCATGTGTATGTCAGAAATTCCATTTAACATTGTTCGTCCAAAAATGCTGAAAATCACATAAACGACATTCTTCACAAGCCAGATATAAGATGTGGTTTTAGGGATTATCATTTATTGGCATTTTTGTTTGAATGAATGTTAACATAATCCTTAGTCCCTCATAGAAGAATTTTTTCTATACATGTGACTTTTCAGACTTGTTGGTGTTTAGAAAATAAATTTATTCCATTTTTCTCTATATATTTTAATAAAAGCATATCTAAGCTTTTTAATTTATGTCTTTGTGAATTCTACAAAAATTTAAATTTATTCTTTAATTTGTTGACTGAAACCACGTTCTTGTATAATTTCGAACAATATCATTTTAAAAAAATAACAAATTTTCAATTTGATGCAATCAGAAAATCATAAAAATAGAAAAAAAGCGACAAAAAAGAGAATTAAGACTCTCTAGATCTAATAACATTTGATTTTATTTAATTACACATCACATTCAACAAATCCCTAGTAAATAGCCATCAGCAATTCATTCCTGATGTCTAACCTTGACCTTAATTGCACACAAGCCAAAACACCCTAAAACACATTCTCAAGTTTGCCGAAAATGATAACAAAAATTTGAGGACGATGTAAAAGTTTCTCGTTCCGTCTTGAATGTATTATGTTCAAATTGATATTAAATAATGTAATAAATTTTGTGAGTTCCTGTATCATATAACTTTACATATATACATATATTAAGTAAGTTACATTTAATTAATTATAGAATCTGAGCTCAAAATAAGAAAAAAGGAGCATATAACATTACCACTGCAGGCTCAGTGGGCAAAAATTAATGTGTTTATAAATTAAATTGCCGTTCCAACTCCGACTAAAATTTTATTCCAAAAAAAAAGAATACTATTCTCAATTGATGGAGGAGCTTATGAATATTTTATAATTTTCACATTCACACACATTGTGTATTAAATTTTATTAAATTAAATCCTAAATTCTCTCATGACAAACAACAGGCATTAATAAAACATAAGAAGCTGCTCAAAGTGTTTTCAAAAAGTTAATTATAAATGTTTGTGGCTTCATTACGAAGGAAATACTCTTTTCATTCCGTAACCACACATTCAAAATTAGTCAGAAACCATATCTTTATATTCAGCAAAAAACGTGCAAGGATTCGCAGCAAAGTTTCATTAATAATTGAGAAATTCTCTGAATTTACTAATTCCCATCCTAAATTTTCCATTGACAGAAGAGCTAAAATTCATCTAGAACCTAAAATGTGCATAATCCATAATTCAAACTCATTGAAAATGTGTAAGGCACATGAAATCAATATTACGAAAAAATAGAACTTTGGTAAATGCACGGGTAACAAAAAAGAAAAATTGGTTCCAAATAATTAAACAAGTAGATCGATAATTTAGCGAGGCATCTCACAACACCAAAAAAGAGGCTGATGCGTAAAGGCTTAAAAAAAATTTCATCATTAAAAAGAGGCAAAAATCCATGCAAATATAGAGAATAGCCCCAATAATCTGTTGTACATAAAAGAATATAATTTTCCCCTTTTGTAAATTTGCATTTTTCTGATATTTAGAGCAGCAACATGACACAGCTGTTTGTATTTTTTCAAGGACAAAAGAATAGAAGTAAATAACCATCAAGTGTATTGAAAAAAGGGTTTTAATAGACCACTGAAATATCCACACAAGCTTGATAAAAAATAAACTGTAAAACTTTTTATTTGACTTTGTGTAATTTAGTTTAATTTTGCTGGGTTCTGTAAAAATACCAAACCGAAAGTTTAATCTGATTTAATCAATAGATAGGGAGAGAAGTAATTCAATTTGCTTTCGCTTAGACAATATTGACAAAATTCATGAACTCTAGAAATGAAGAAATATATATATATATATATATATATATAAAGCACATTCTTTTATAAAACAGTTATCAGGTTTAACATCTTACTTCACATTCAACAGTTTTGATTGTCTTTAATAAAATATACAATGCTTTCATAATTTCTGCATCATAAATTTCAATTATCACATTATTTCCATTTCAATGCTACGCTTGAAGTCATTCATTCTCTTCTAGCTTTTCCCATTTTCTGGCTTTCATTCAATCAATTGCTTCTGTCTTCCTTTTTTTTACACGAGCACATGTTTTCTTCCTTCCGCAACACTTAAAGCATATGTATGCACATGATATGTTGAAGATGATTGAGAGGCATTTTGCTAAGTGAGAATTTTTAACTTTTTACATCAATTTTAGGAAATTCTTGTATGCATATGTTTTTATACTTTTAAGTATACTTCGTCCTCATCAATTTGTTACAAATGGAGAATATAAGGAAACGTTAAATAGAAGTTAAATCGAGTATGAGATCTTACAAAAAGAAAGCACATAGAAAAGGATATTCGTTTTTTTGCCGCACATAAAATCTGAGATGATGATTCGAAAATACGAAAACGATAAATTTTTGAGAAGACAGAATGTCCTAAATTACTGCGTTCATATGAGAAAGATTACAGCGTTTAAAGCTTTTTCTACTGAATGGGTTGTAGTCCCATGTAAAGTGATAAAACATTTTTACCATAAATTTGATTTTAATGGGACGCTTTCATGCCATTTAAGGGTTGTTGAAAAATTAATTTGTATAAAGCTGTAAAAAATTTAATTGTTGCATACAGCATATATTTTCAATTGAAGTCCAATTTCTAAGTTTTATTGAGTTTTGAAAATATACATTTCAATTCAAAATCAGTTCCACGCACTGATGTTATAAAACATTTAATCCAAAAATATATATTCATCCGAGACAACAAATGTAAACATTCATGCTACATATGCTACATATTGACTTTTATCAACTTGTATCAATAAATTGTATTTACTCAAATATTTCTTACGGTGATAAAAAAAAGAATATCAACAATACATTATCCTTTCAATATGCGTAAAATGTTTGAATGATATGCGTGTAAATACAACAGTAAAGGGTTTCCACTTGAATGATCTAAGGCTTTCTTTACAATGAAGCATTGAGGCAAGAATGAACAAATCTTTTATAATAAAAAATTTCAAGAGCTTTCCTATTTTTTTTTTTTGAAATAAATTTAAAACAATGAACTACAAACTTATTCAGTTGAGTATATTTTTAGAAATATCATCCCATTTGGATTTACGTTTAGTTCTTTGCAGGCGAATAATAAATTTTTGAATGTGCTAAGGAAAAATTGTTTTTTGCAGTTTTTTGTTGATTGAAAATGCCATCAAAACAAGTTTATCTTTATGCTATATGTCTATCTATTAAATTGCCATATTTGTCATAAAGCTTACAAACAGGATATTCAATAGAAAATCATGCCTAAGCTGAAAATCAGCTCAAAATCAGAAGCTCAAAATCAAAATTAAACTTTAACTATGTAAAACTTTGAACATTGTTCTGATCAGTTTTGATTTCAAGCAATTATTAAAAATGCAATAAACTCAAACTGTGTAGAAGCAGTTCCATTTCTTTGAAAATCAATATCAAGTTCGAAAAACAAGCAAATAGCAACGCAAAAAATGTTAACAACTCTCATAGAAAAGAAGAAGAAACTTGAAGTAGTAAACAAAATTAATGATCTGACATTTAACTGTCGAGTAAAAAGCATAGGAGATGATTTAAATGCAATTGCATTAAAACTTATAAGGGGTAAATTTTTGAACAAAAAAGTGTCCAGAAAATGTTAAATTCCAATTTATAAATATCTTACAGTTAAAGCTAGACTGGATGTGAAATTTTCACTTAATTCAATCAAAACATTTATGGACGTATTTTATGCCTCGTTACGTAATTTAATCACATGAAAGGGAACGTTGATGGAATAAAAACATTTTCTTTTGTGAATAAACGAAAAATTGTAAGGAGTGGAACATATGAAAGTAGAAGCTGAATGGAGGGAGATAATCCGAAGTGGATAACGCTTCCTTTAAAACTTACTTTTATAAAAGTAGGATTACAAACCTGATTAAATTAAAGTCCTTTTATTATTGTATAAAAAAATTTATTCAAAGGTCGTAAAACGTCTTAAACCAAAGTATTAAGGAAAATTCGAGAGCCTGTGTCATGACAGTGACAAATCTATGGTAACAATGTTGTGGGAAACTCATCCATTGATAATCCTATTGATTTTATTCCACTCTGTTATTTTGTGGTTGGATCGTAGGAGTGAATTTTGTCGATTTTGCACCTTCATTTGCTTGCAACACTGCTGCGCAAAAATTGTTTTACTTCATACTAGTGTGCTGTAAACTAGAACTCCTTAAAAGTATTGAAAAGATTATCAAACTTGATTGCTTTGACTACCAATCTAAATAACCACTATGGTAACATCATATAATAGACTCATTGTTAAGCTCCTGTTATATGATCAATTGTCTTTTTCGAGTGGAAAGCTCTCGTAAGAAAGAGTATCAAAGAAATTATCAATTACAGACAGCAAAACTTAATTGTTAATGATTGCGAACCAAAGAATAAGAGGATGAAGAAACACGTCAGTTTTAAATACGTTTGTTTAAGAAGTTTCTAATTAAATGATAAAATTACTAAGTAGATGACTAAATCATATCGGATGTAAAAAGAGAAATATCACATTTAAAAAAAAACACAATAAAACTTGAATGTTAACAATCCACTAGCATGATAATCTTTAATTGATAATATAAAGCAAGTATCGAACTATGACTAATATTATAATTAATATATTTTGATGCTATTTCAAGCAGCAATAGAATTACAAAATGATGAATAAAATTCATACAGAATTAATCGTTACTTTAAAGCATAAAAGCACTTAGATGATAAATAAGTGGGTTTAGGGAAACGACTATGTTATGCATAAATACTTTTTTAACTAAAAAGAAAGTACTCAATGTTAAATATTTTTCTAAATAGAAGTTTAATCTGTTGAATAAAAGGAAATGAGGAAAAATTAAAAGAGATATCTTTACTTACATACATAAATTGCTGTACTTTATACTTGAGAAAAACATCTCATTTAAAAGTAAACATATTTAAACAGAGACAAACAGAGATTGTATGATTTAAAGCGGAATTATTCCTGTATAATATGATGATAATAAGCATAAGTGCAATTCATCGTGTGCCAATGGATTTAAATCCTTAAAAACATAATCTGGTAAAAAATATGTCATTTACTTTCTTAAGAAAATTGATACCAGAACAATACAAAAATATTCTACGTACTGTCATGACAATATCATTGATTCCTCCTCAGTGAAGAAATTCACCAGAAATTTTTGAAATTAAACCTTTGGCACACATTGAAATGCATTAAAGTGGAAAGAAATATCTTTACATCCTTGATTGCATAACACTAAATAATTTTGTTAATTCCTTATCGTTCATCAATAAAATTCTCATTCCACTAGTAACACGAGACGAGAAGTAACAATAAAATGTAATAAAAATAATTTTGAAAATTTTCTCATAATTTTTTCTATTGCAAAATGTCATCAAATGATTTGTAAATAAATTGACAATATCAAACTTTAGGGGAAGCAAACAATATAATAATATCATAGAAAAGAAGAAAAATATCTATTTAACATATTAAGTCCAATTTCTTGTGAATGTTGTCAAATGTTGTAAACTTTTCATGATACAAAAAGATTTAACAATACCTACTTGTTGATGTCATAAAATGCTGCTACTACCAAAATAAAGTCATAACAATAACGATAACAAAATTGAATTAACAAACAAAATTAAAAAATATGAAAATATAAAGTGAAATGTTTTGTAAAAAAAAGACCCAAAATTTATTTTCATGTTGAGAGTTGTACAAAATAAATTTTGAGAAACTTAAGAATGAGAACGATGACAAAAAAAGTAAAATGAGATTGAAGTTGTGTTGTAATGTATTTTGGAGGTTCTGAAGAGAAAATAAAATTTAAAAGGTATCATAAAGTGAAAGCATTAATCTTCAATTTTTTGTTTATCATACATTTTTATTGTTTTATTTATATTCCGTCGTGTCATTTTCAGCTTATCAGACCAGAGTGGCAAAGAAATTGTTTCTGAAAAATTGAATTATTTTTTGAAGTATTCTACAATCTCACTTTGTATCTTATGTTTCAGTTACATCGTGTCAGGATGTTGGTTTGATAATGAGAATATTCTTTTATTAATAAAGATAATTAAAGAATCCTCACGAATTTGTAGGTTATGACAAGATGTTTATTGTTCAATAATTAGAAACAGACAAAATATTTGTATGAAAGGGGTTAAAAACTATACAAGGGGAAATAAACTAATTATAGTTGCATACATAATTTAAATATGAAATGACTGTTAATATATTTACAACATAGGAAGGTCAGGAGAGTGTTTGAATATTTTTAAAAAATTAACATGGTCAAGAAAGTTCCGAAAATATTCTGCACAAAGATCTGAAGATCTGCAAATGTTAAATACAAAACAATAAAAAGCTAAAGTTATGATGCCATTGATGAAATCATATCAATAAGTAAGTGAGTTCTTTAAGGAGGAATGGCGATCTTATTCACAATATTTATGATTACGACCCTCATCATTTCATGAATTAAGAATGTTATGAGCTTTTTCTAAAAATGGATAAAAACTAGTGTATTCGGTAGAAACCCAATGCGAATTATATTCACACCGTACCATCAAAAGTCTTATGGATAGACCAAGATTTGCCGAGCATAAAAATGAAGGTATGAAGCTTCATAAGTTAACTGAGCTTCGCTCACCATAAGTTTTGAGATATCAGCATAAGTTTGAAGGTATAAAGCTAGCGAGTCAGCTGAGCTTCGCTCAGCATATGTTTGAAGGTTTAAAGCTTAAAAGAAAAAGTTTCAAGCCCCGCGCTTAAAAACGTGGAAAATTTTCATCAAATTAATTTAACAGTTTCCAAGTCGTTATAAGTTGAGAAAAACCTCTTAATAAGTGCCAAGGGTTGTGTTTTCCTCAAGGAAAATGAGGAAAGTCAAAAGAAAGCAAGATTTGTCGCCAAAAATTGATTTGGACGAAAGCCCAATTAAATCTAATGAAAATTCCAAGAAGAGGAAGCAATCGCCTCAGAAAGAGGAATTATCGGTTCCAGTCACAACAACAACTTCAGTCAAGCCAATATTTGTGCAATGCAGTCTCAAGGATGTGAGAAAATTAATCTCACTATTGAAATTACAGGTTATGCCTGCATATAAAATTTCATCATCAAATACAACTCAAGTAATTGTCAAGTCTATTGAGGATAAGGCCTCAATAATAAATCTTCTGCGGTCTCAAACTATTCAATTCCACACCTTCTCCGAGAAATCGGAGAAAACAAAGTCATTCGTTCTGAAAGGATTTTACGAAACACCAACGAATGAAGTACTAAGATTACTTCAAGAAGCCAAGGTTTCAGCTGTCAAAGTGACAATTCTCGTCAAGAAGCCCGAGTTCACCTTTTATCTTGTGCATTTTCAAGATGAAAGTGTGAACATCAACGTGCTCAATCATAACCACCGTAACATCGACAACATCATCGTCAAGTGGGAGAACATCAAGAAGGGCAACAAAAGCCCAACGCAGTGCTTCAACTGCCAACGTTGGGGTCACTCATCTCAAAATTGTGGATTTAAGTTCCGATGCGTCAAGTGCACGGAAGTTCACGGACCAAATCAATGTCAACGATTCACTCGTGATGGAAATGCCAAGTGCATTAATTGCAATGGCGATCATGCTGCCAGTTATAGACTGTGCCCATCATTCATTTCGTATTCCAAAAGAATCGAAAAGTCAAGAGCCAAACCACAACTCAAAATGCTGCCACAGATATCAAGTCTTTTGGACAGTAACAATTTTCCATCGTTAAGCAAACGACATCAAGTTTCTGCTCATTCACAACCAGTGAATGCTGCAAGTAACTCATCAGCAACATTTCAAGAAGAGATTAATCAGCAACAACTGATCAATAATATCAGTTATGCAGAGAAACTCAACGAAGCAGTAAAGAATGAAAGCCTTTTCAAGAAATTCACAGAAGCTCAAGAACGTCTAAAGAGAATCCCCGAAGGTATAAAGCTAGCGAGTCAGCTGAGCTTCGCTCAGCATATGTTTGAAGGTTTAAAGCTTAAAAGAAAAAGTTTCAAGCCCCGCGCTTAAAAACGTGGAAAATTTTCATCAAATTAATTTAACAGTTTCCAAGTCGTTATAAGTTGAGAAAAACCTCTTAATAAGTGCCAAGGGTTGTGTTTTCCTCAAGGAAAATGAGGAAAGTCAAAAGAAAGCAAGATTTGTCGCCAAAAATTGATTTGGACGAAAGCCCAATTAAATCTAATGAAAATTCCAAGAAGAGGAAGCAATCGCCTCAGAAAGAGGAATTATCGGTTCCAGTCACAACAACAACTTCAGTCAAGCCAATATTTGTGCAATGCAGTCTCAAGGATGTGAGAAAATTAATCTCACTATTGAAATTACAGGTTATGCCTGCATATAAAATTTCATCATCAAATACAACTCAAGTAATTGTCAAGTCTATTGAGGATAAGGCCTCAATAATAAATCTTCTGCGGTCTCAAACTATTCAATTCCACACCTTCTCCGAGAAATCGGAGAAAACAAAGTCATTCGTTCTGAAAGGATTTTACGAAACACCAACGAATGAAGTACTAAGATTACTTCAAGAAGCCAAGGTTTCAGCTGTCAAAGTGACAATTCTCGTCAAGAAGCCCGAGTTCACCTTTTATCTTGTGCATTTTCAAGATGAAAGTGTGAACATCAACGTGCTCAATCATAACCACCGTAACATCGACAACATCATCGTCAAGTGGGAGAACATCAAGAAGGGCAACAAAAGCCCAACGCAGTGCTTCAACTGCCAACGTTGGGGTCACTCATCTCAAAATTGTGGATTTAAGTTCCGATGCGTCAAGTGCACGGAAGTTCACGGACCAAATCAATGTCAACGATTCACTCGTGATGGAAATGCCAAGTGCATTAATTGCAATGGCGATCATGCTGCCAGTTATAGACTGTGCCCATCATTCATTTCGTATTCCAAAAGAATCGAAAAGTCAAGAGCCAAACCACAACTCAAAATGCTGCCACAGATATCAAGTCTTTTGGACAGTAACAATTTTCCATCGTTAAGCAAACGACATCAAGTTTCTGCTCATTCACAACCAGTGAATGCTGCAAGTAACTCATCAGCAACATTTCAAGAAGAGATTAATCAGCAACAACTGATCAATAATATCAGTTATGCAGAGAAACTCAACGAAGCAGTAAAGAATGAAAGCCTTTTCAAGAAATTCACAGAAGCTCAAGAACGTCTAAAGAGAATCCCCAACATTGAAGAAACAATAAATCAGTTCTGCAGTTTCGTCGACGAAGCCGGAAAGATCCCAAAGGATGCACCTCAAGGAACTGCATTTAAAATCATGGTGAAGTATGGCTTCATGAGCTGCCCACCAGCACCGAACAAGCCAGTTCAAAAATAATTTATTAACGTAGTTCATAAGCTTAAAAAAAAGCTTTTTTTTTTTTTTTTTTTTCTCGCTCGGCAACTTTTTTTAAACTTTTTATGCCACATTTTCATGATATATGTAAATCTCAATCATCAAAATTAATAATTAATCAAGATATAGTTGAATTAAAGCCATATTCAGGCTGGTGTCAAAATAAGACTCAAAGAAATGTAACTTAAACTACAATAATTCCAAATTTGAAATAAAGAAAGATTATTATTAAAGCTTAACGAACATTATTTAAAAAATTTTTTAAATTTTATTTCATCCAAAGTTTAAAATTATAAAAATCACAGTGAACTTTTGTTTTAAAAAATTCGTAAGAAAGGAAAGTATTTTGCTTTTTCTGAAGCAACGGCTGTTCCTACCTTGCCCAAAAACAATACAGCTCTTCTATAGAGCAGCACGGATCAAATGTAAAAAACTAGAAGTCTCTACGATGTCTCGTTATTGAAATTTCTTACTGATTAACTTGCTTGCTTGCTTGTTTGCTTACAGAAAGCGTATTTTGCGATTTTCTCAGTAATGCCACAACCAATTTGAAATCTGTTTTTTTGAAAATGATGTAAAATTTTAGGCACAAACTTTTCTTCTTGGAACTTTTATAACCAATTTTGCTTCGTTTTCTCACAAAATGCGAAAAACTGATTTTTCAATCTGAACAAAACCAATAGATTAACACGTGAAAACGGTGTGAATATAAAAATTTAATATACACATTATCTTTTCGTCTACTAGTAATGACTTGAAGCATGAAATTTGCTTGCTGAAGTGGTGGCATATAATTAGGGTGCCACCTGCGTAGTTTTACAACGGACAGTCTGTATTTCAAAACCCTGTCCTGTATGAATTTGAAAATTTTGTTCCAGGTCCTGTATTTTTTTCACGAAAATTTCAGTTAATTTTCAAATTCTCCTTTGTGTCCTGTATTTTTTTGGGAAATTTATCAAATGTCCTGTATTTTCATAAAAATTAGATGGTAACCCTAATCATAATAGGCTATTTTCAAAACAAATATCGATTTTATATCTATATTAGCATTATTTATCATTTATAATTACTAGATATGTTTTAAAATGCAATATAAAGCATTTATGGTTTCGATCAAAGTAGGCTATTTTAAAAAAAAATATCGATTTTATATCTACATTAGCATTCTTTATCATTTGTAATTGCTAGATATGTTTTAAAATGCAATTTAAAGCATTTAAGGTTTCGATCATAGGAGGCTATTTTCAAAAAATTATATCGATTTTATATCTATATTAGCATTCTTTATCATTTATAATTACTATATATGTTTATAATGCAATTTAAAGCATTTTTGGTTTCGATCATACTAGATTATTTTTGAAAAATGATATCGATTTTATATCTATATTAGCATTCTTTATCATTTGTAATTACTAGATATGTTTTAAAATGAAATTTAAAGCATTTTGGTTTCGATCATAGTAGGCTATTTTCAAAAAATTATATCGATTTTATATCTATA